TTGGATCCGGCAGTGCTCTATGTCTCCTTGTAGAAGACAGTCCCCAGAGTGTAGTGATGTATCATTTGGGTTGGTCCAAAGATTCCGGGGGGTTACAGCCTGGCCCCAGTGTCTGCTTGCATGATTGTCCCGGGGCACCGCACTTTGGAGCAGATGGCAGAAGAACCGTGCTTTGGACCAGGAAACCGAATATATCTTCTTGAAGGGGAGAGTCCCCTGAACATAGGAGTATATGATACGTGGTGTTCCAGACCTTATTTTGGGGTTCAGAACTTTAAAACTCTCCTCAGTGTTTCTGCATGATTTCGTGAATAAGTCATGGATAAGGAACGAATAAGGAACTGCGGATAAGGAACCCACTTCAGCCTCCTCCTCACTTGGACGGGCTTCCTGATCTCTACCCTTCCCACCACCCTCTGCAATTTCGGAACCAATGGGTTCAGCTCAAGCAGCTTCATGCCTTGTGAACTGTGCAATTATGGAGTGGCGGGCTGCCAACTGCCCCCCCCATGCCATTCCAAATCCGCTACCTGACCCAGCTGCTTTAGGCTGCCTGCTGGGGCCGGCCCAGATGCTAGGAGGCTGCATCCCCTCCCTCCTTTCACCCCGTCAAGGAACAGGTGGAAAGAGATTTCTAGCCAGTTCTCCAAACGGGGATCTTTAAATAAATTAGCCACGGAGGATGCCAAGGTTTCAGGATCAGCTGCTATTTTTGCCCACAACAGAAGGGAGAAATTGGGTTAATTTGGGGATGTGTTCCAGTTTGAGGGCGATCTTGCTGCGCTAATATACCCTAGGATTTATTTTTTTTAAAGCTTGCAGTCAAAAAATGCAAACAGCAGACATAACAGGCCGGGGTTGGGGAGAATGCACCTCACATGGGGTCCTGTTGGGCAGCTGAGCCTGGCTCAGGGCATTTGTTCCTCTATCCTTCTCAAGGCTTTTATCCCGCCCTTCCTCCACAAAGGAGCCCGGGATAAATACGCACCGCCCTCCGCTCTCCCCCATTTTATCTCCACAACCACCCTGTGAGGTAGGTTAGGCCCAGAGGGACTGGTCGAAGGCCGTCCAGCGAACTTCACAGCAGAGCAAGGCTTCCAGCCTGGGCCTCACACCACCAACAGCCCATATCATGGAATGTCCCTTCAGCAGCAAAGGTGGATGTCTTGGCTGTGTGGCATGTGGAACTATTTTTTTTTGGGGGGGGAAACCCATTTTGCAGCTGAATGAGACCCCTTCCCCATTCACACGGGCTGGGCTTTTCAAAGTTGTGTTGGATTCAAAGGGTCACTTTTCCATAGCTTCTCCACAGCGTAAGAAGAGATTGGATTTATACCCCGCCCTTCACTACCTGAAGGAGTCTCAGAGTGGCTTACAAACTCCTTTCCCTCCCCCCCCCACAACAGACACTCTGTGAGGTAAGTGAGGCCGAGAGAGCTCTTTCAAGGACTGCTCTTGAGAGAACAGCTCTGAGAGAATTTGTGACTGACCAGCAGCTGCATGTGGAGGAGTAGGGAATCAAACCCAGTTATCCCAGATTAGAGCTCGCACTCCAATTTAGCCAAATGACTTTGGGCTCACACAGTACCTTGTTAAAACAGGGCTGCTCCCTTGAAAAACAGCTATGTATGTTTCAAGACCATATTACTTCAAAATCCACCTAGGCTCCTGAAATGTCTTCAGGATCACCAGGCCTTAGAAACAGCCCAGAGTATTTAGAAGAAGAAGCAATTGGATTTATACCCCGCCTTTCACTACCCAAAGGGGTCTCAGAACAGCTTACAATCTCCTTTCCCCTCCCCACAACGGACACCTTGTGAGGGAGTTGGGGCTGAGAGAGCTCTGACAGAAACTGCTCTTTTTCCAAGAACAGCTCTTGTCAGAACTATGGCTTGCCCAAGGTCATCCAGCCAGGTGCAAGTGGAGGAGTGGGGAATCAAACCCGGTTCCCCCAGACTAGAGTCCGGGGCAAGAACCAGACCTGGCATCTCAGGGGAGTGCCTGACTTCCAGTGGCAGCGGCAAAGGGAAGAGCCCTCCTCACAAGTCAAAGCTCCTTTCCCGGGTCTGTCAAACGCTGTGCAGTAGAAGCAGGGACAGATGCCGCATGCGTTTCAAGATGCACCTTGCTTTGTGTGTCCCCCCCCCCCCCCCCCCCGCCTGCTCAGTTTCCCACTGAGGAAATGATGGTACGTTGCTGCCCGCTGCCCGGCACTCCTTCACCTGGAAGCCCCATGCCAGGAAGGCTCCTCGGAAGAGGCGTCTCTGCCCCCAAACGTTCTATTTATGCTCCCTCTTGAGAGGATTACGTTGCACAACAAAGCAGGTGGGAGAGCCCGGGGCAAGAGCGCTCCGCCTGCACCAGCTGTTCCAAACAAGGCAAGATTTGTGGCCTAGATCGGCTCCCTGCTCTCGCCCACAAAATGCCCCCTCCGTGTCCCAGATTCCAAACAGCCACTCCCCCTTGGTGCCGAGGGAGGGGTCCTCTATCCCTCGCTTGGCTCCAGAACCCTTGCTCCTGGTGAGAGGAAAATTTCCCAGCCCCCCCCCCCCCCCCCCCCCCCCTGCAGGACAGAACTGGATAGAACACGAGGGTCCTGATGCGTGTGCATGACCCATGCCTTCCGTCTCTAGGCCAGAAAGGCTTCAGTTCAGTGCAAAGCCTCTAACCTGACAGGTTGGTCAGAGGGTACCGGTTCAGATTCCCCGTCCGAGGGCTTTCAGGTTCCATCATGGACGCAGTCAGGACTGAAAACACAACGGAGCAAGGCAGCTGAACAGCCACTGCTATGATAGTTGTGAAATGAGGCTGCCGGTCACTTAAAGAAATCAGGGGAGCTTTAAGCAACGGAATCTATGTACGAATACGGTCCTCTCTGAAATCACTGCGCGCCTCTTCTTTCGCCCAGGCTTTCAACGTGCACGAGGAAGCACACCCCTTTTCTCCGGAGGAGTGGGCCACCCTGGCTTTGTAAGTACTTGCAAATGCTAAAAAACCGAACTCGCTGCCCCCTTGATCAAAGCCCTGCAGCCCTGCTTCGGAACGTCTCCAATTAACCCTGGCGGCACCCTCAGTGGCAAAGGTGCACAATACCTGGAGTGAGCAAGTAAATATGTGGGCTGTGCCGGGCAAAGTGCTTGGAGGGTGTGATCCCAGAAGGCAGCAGGGTGCAGCTCTGTGGCCAATAGCAGCTGCCCCCCCCAAGAAGGCACGGCCTGGGCCCCATGACCGGAACTGCCAGTGGCCTGCAAAGGAAAGGGAGGCTGCCAAAGGGCAGGTACCTCCTGGTGCTGCAGCTTGGCGTGATTTTGCTCCCCGTGCACGCTCGCTTCAGCCTCCTCTGCCAAAGTGAACACTTCCCTCCACCAACCAAGCTCAGGACCCTTGGAAAAACCTTCAGACCTGCCTAACCCCAACGGATAGTCCTCCTTGGCTCCTGCTAGCAGATAGGGGGAGGAATAGGAGGCAGCCTTTGCCCCTCCGCCCGCCTCTGCTTTGCAATGTCCCCCCCCCCTTCTCCCAGCAACATCTCACTTGCATTAGATTCTGCTGCATGCCCTAGAGCTCCCTAAGGGTGGGCCGTATTGGCGTTACTGTACCACCCTTCGGAGAGAGGCGGAGGGAAGCTGGCAGAAAGGGAAAAACCCGCCAGGGTTGCTGGAGACGGATCTAGCCACGAACGCACTTCCCACCAGCCCCTGTTCATCTGCCATGGAATCCTGGCACACCGGAGTGGATTTGGGGCAGGGCGTCTGCTCATGGGGTACCAGTCGAGCCTGCAGGGCCTTATCGGACAGGTCTTGTCCCCGAGAGCCCCCAGTGAGTTCTGGAATCAAGCCAGAGGGCAAACTGAAAGACAACAGGCGGCGCAAGGAAAGTGGTAGTGAGTAAAAGGTAAAACAGAGATTAAAAATGATCCTGAAGGTGGCCTCTGCCTTGCATGATGGGGGAACCCCTCTGCGATCTGGGCCATAAAGGAAGGTGGAAGGGGAGGGGGCGGAGACTCCCTGGGACCCAAATCTGCTAAGGGGAGGGGGAATGAAAGTTAACGGCTTACAAAAGATGCTGCCCACTTTCACTCTGCGTGACCCCGAACCCGTCTCCCCCGAATTCCTATTGCATCTCCGCATGGGACGCGAGTGGATCATTCAATCAATCCCAAGGCAGACGTGCCACGGAATTAGCAGCCCTCGGAGGTGGCTTCCTGTTGAGTCTCTCAAAGATCTTCCATGCTGGGCTCGCCGCCTTCCAATCAAGAAAAATGACTCACGCAGAAGCTGGGGGGGGGGGAGGCATCTGTCTCTCGAGGACGACGGGCTCCTCCTGTTTTCCCCGCCAACTTTTTGGGGTGTGTGAAAGCAAAGTGTGCTTACGACTGTAATTCAGAAAACTCATTTCCTTCCAGTTCCCTGGAAACTGACGAGTGACCAAAACAAGCTTCCCTTCTCCAAAGAACTCATTCGCACTCAGAGAGAAGAGGACTCGGGTTCACCAGCCATAAATGACATTTACTTTATTTAAAGTTGACCGACGGGGGAGGGGCAAAAAAGAGAAAGGGGGGAAAAAAGAGAGAGTAAAATGCACAACTCGAGTAGTGCAAAGAAAGTCCAAACCAAGCCCAGCGAAAGGCGGACGCCCGGTGGCGGCTCTCCGTCTTCCAGCTGCGCCTCACCCCAAAGTCGGCTCAGTCCACGCTCAGATAACTTAGCAAGGGTTTCGGCAAGCGCTGTGGGGGGGCGGGAGGGGGCAAGAGAGGCTCCTGCCCTTCGGAAAGTGTACTTAGAAGAGAGGAGGAGGAGGAGCTTGGGGGGCTGGTGGAGAGTCAAGCAGCGATAGCTGGCGCTTGCAGCCCATGGAGGACGAGGGAGTGACCCACCGTTTGGGTTCCTGGACATCTTGCAAGCAAAAGCGACGGGCGGGGTGGAGGTGGGCCTGGCCCAGCTTCGGACAGGGTGGTGCTTCGGGTGAATGTGGTGCTGGGAATGGGGTGGTGGGGGCTAAATTCACAGACGTGGGCCATCCACGAGGCAGACGGCGTCCAAGTGCTCAGAGGGCATGCCAGCTTCGTTCTCTGCTTTCTCTCGGTCTCTCTTGCGGGGGGGGGAGGGGGGAGGGAGGAGGAGAGAGAGCCCGCACACGGGCACACAAGTCTTTGGCTGAACTTAAAAAACGTCTTAAAAAGGAGAACGGGAGGGATCCGTCTCTCATTGGACACCACACAAGGGTTGGATGGGATTTAAATTACAACAAAAAGGCGGGCGGGCGGGCACTGCTGGGGGGGGGGACCTCCACACTCACATGCCCCACCAAGAGGAGGCTGGCAGCTCCCCCCCCAACTGCAGACAGGAGCCAGGAGAGGAGCGCCACAGGACGGCTCGCCTGCGGGGGAGCAGTGGTCAGGCTTGACGTAATCCTGGGTCTCGGAGACTCTTCACCTTTCCCCCGTCGCGGAACAGGACAGCGGTCACCCTGCGCTACCAGCAGGGAGGGCGAGACTGCCAGGCAGCGCGTCGGCCAGAGAGAGAACCCAAAGGGGCGCCCGGGTGCCTGGCGAGGCCATCCACTGCGCGAGAGGGGAGGTGGCAGGCCGAGATGTCAGGAAGCGGCCTGCTGCCTGTCAGTGCGTGCTCACGCCTGGGGCTATGCGGTGCTTTCCGTCGTCGGCTTGCTCTCAGAGTCGCTGTCGCTCAGGTAGCTCCGAGAGGAGCGCTTGGACCTGAGAGCGCTGTCAAAGATGTCTCGCTCCTCGTCTGACTTGTCGTAGGTAAACGATTTCCGATAGCCTGGGGGGCTGCGGAGAGGAGACAAGAGAAGTTACAAAGCAGATTTGGCTCAGGCCAAGGGAGTTGTCACTGGGGAGGCTGAGCGGGGTTAGGGGCATTCCCCAAGTCAGCCGCTCGCGCACCACCAAAGATGTGCGGCCCAGAACACAAGACCCCAGTCGCCCCTCTCCAGGCGGTTTCACACACAGGCAAGAGTGACAAAGAGGTGCTGCCTGTGTTGCCTGTGAACGTGTCCCTCTATCCTCGCAGCTTGGAGTCTTGGGAGAGGCCACCACAAGGCCCCGCAGTGGAGAGACTGACTGGAAATCCAGCCCAGCTGCCCCTGTCAAAGGAGGCGGGACAAACTCAGAAACCGGCAAACTAACTACTGGGTTAAATGTAAAAAGAAAAATCAATGGCCTCGGAAACATAGAAGCTTTACGCGGTACCTCCGATCCTCCACGTTTCCTGGTTAAGGGGGGAAAGCCGTTCGGACAAATTACAAAGGTGATCCGACTCCAGTGGTAACAAGAGAAAGAAATTCTACTTACAAAATTAGAAGCACATCTTACGTCACATGTTCATGTTCGTACATTTAACTTGTGAAAAGATTTAGCTTCAAAAAGGTTAACTTGCTACAGCTCCGAGCCCGGGGAAGAGAGAGAAGAAGGTCCCGTATAAGATAGGACACAGAAGGCAAGCAAGAGCCAAGGAGGCTCAAACTCTCAGGGACGAGAGGGTGGGGCCCAGCCCCATAGCTAGGGATTTTGGGGGGAGGGGGCCTTCGGGGGGGGCCACCAGCTAATTGCATCAAAGGCTCAAGGGCAAGGGGGGGTCTGCCTGGCTTGCACCCACACAGCCCCCACTAGAGCCTTCCTCTGAGGTGAGCCAGAATCCCAATGTTAATAGACACTAAAAGGTCTAGGAAAGCTGCCGTGTTTATTTTAAAAAGGAGAGCGGGGATCGAGCTTCCTCCCTCACTCCTTCTCTGAGCCGAGGATCTTTTCTGAAGCCTGGCGCAGAAAATCCAACAGGAGGAGCGAACTGCTGCAATCCCACCGATGTGTGTGTGACTCCGTCAACCACCGGTTGCTGCTGGGTCCTAAAGAGACTCAGCTCATCGCAGATGAGCTCAAAGGGGGAGACGCCGGCTCAGATCGATCAGGGGGTGAGGGGGCCGGAGGGAGGGAAGGGGAGCTGAGGATCAGGAAAGGGCCCCGCAAAAATCGTGGGGGGGGAGGGAGGGCCCCATGGGGCCCACGTTAGCTACGGGCCTGGAGAGGCCAACTGCCAAGCGCACCCCAGTGAGAGAATTCTCTCAACCCTTCCCCCCCCCCAGGTCCTCTTGCATGCAGAGTTACAATATCCCATGCTAACAAGGGCTAACTGAAGCTTTTGATTCTAATTAGGGTGAATTGGGGATGTTGCTCAGATAACTCTGGCCTCCGAGCTCCGTGAGTCTCCTGTGGCAGCTCTGGGGTCAATTCCCACATGGTTGGAAAGACAGAGAGGCAGGGATGTGACACATCACATGGACCCCCTTCTCCGACCCTTCCTGCTGGGAGGCAGGGCACTGGGCGGTGGGAGCGGTACGACAGAGCAACTCTGGGGGCCAGTTCACAGTTAGATGCCTGGCAGTCAAGATCCCCAGCTCGGCCAGGGCTCTCTTTCTGCTGTGTCTGAAGAAACAGAACAACCGTTCTGCCACGAGAACGCCAATATCAGGTTATCGGAATGTATTATGCACACTTCCATATAAATTGTCTTTATCTGGGGTGACTTGTTCTGTTCCCGCCAAGTTATGGGCAAAGACTGAGCTCCTGGTTACTGGAAATCCAGTGCAGTGCCCCTCCGCCTTGGAGCGGCACCAGGAACTGCTCACACTCTGCAAGCCTATCTTAGCGGACAAAAGGATTAGTAAGTTGCTTTTTAAAAAATAAAAATAAATAAAAAAGGGAAATGCCACTCATTACCAGCGTTTGCTCCTGCGTGGCTAGAGTTGCCAGCCTCCAGGAGGGGCCTGGAGCTCTCCCACTTTTACAAGTGATCTCCAGTCTACCGAGATTCAGACCCGTAGCTACGTGGGGGGGGGGGCTATTTGGGGCTCCGCCCCCTTTCTTAAAGGGAAAGCCCCAGAAGAGTTTCTCCTGTAAAAGTTTTTTTAAAAACAGAAATTACAGCCAAGGACTGGTGCGGTGAAAAGACAGCGGGGAGCTGGGTTTATTTTTTTCAACTGTAAAACTCCAGCCCCACCACACACACAAAAAAATTGCCCCAAAAGCCACAAAACCCTGGCTGTGGGCCTGCCAAGGCCAGTTCCCCCGGAGAAAACAGCTGCTTTGGACAGAGGACTCTGTGGCAGTGTACCCTGCCGAGGTCCCCTCCCCTCTGTTAGGATTGCCAGGTCCTGGTTGGGAAATTCTTGGAGGTTTGGGGTGAGGAGCCTGGGCAGGGGAGGGTTTGGGGCAGGCAGGCAGGGACCTCAGTGGGGTACAAGGCCACACAGTTCACCAATGCTCCCTCTAAGCTGTGGAGTCTCCTGAGCAAAATCCTACTTTGTGAGCTGCTGGCATTAAAGTTGTGAGCGAGCGATTTGGCTGCTGCATACATTAGTATGCTCGGGAGCCCTCCTTCCTGAGCTAAAAATGCGTGAGCTGGAGGCTAAAAAACTGTGAGGTAGCTCACACTAACTCAGCTTAGAGGGAACACTGCAGTCCACCTTCTAAAGCATCCCTTTTCTCCAGGGGAACTGGTCTTGGCCAGAGAGGCCCGCTGAACCACCACCGGAGGAAAGAAGTCAGTAGAAGCCGTGCCGACGAGCGACAAGCTGTCCCAGAACGTCCCTCCACTGGGTGTTGTTAGGACAGTCCCCACCCCTGCATATATATGTGGCCTTAGGTAAGGGATAACAGTTAACTGTAAAGCCGCTCAGAGACCCCCTGTGGGGGGTTTGAGCGGGGTAGCAAGTCGAAAGTTAAATAAATAAATAAAATAAATAAATCTCTCTAACCTGGAGATTAGCTGTCACTTTGGGAGATCTCCAGCCACCACCTGGAGACTGGCAACCGTTACCCCTCCCCAAACCCTATCCTCTCCAGGTTCCACCCCCAAACCTCCAGGTATTTCCCAACCCGGAGCTGGCAGGTCTATGGGTGGTAAGGTAAAGGTTTCCCTTGCTCGAAAGCCAATCGAGTCCGACTCTAGGGTTGCGGTCCTCATCTCGGTTTCCAAGCCGAAGAGCCAGCGCTGTCCGAAAACGTTTCCGTGGTCATGTGGCCGGCATGACTAAACACCGAGGCGCACGGAACGCTGTTACCTTCCCACCAAAGTGGTCCCTATTTATCTACTTGCAATTTCTTGCTTTCAAACTGCTAGGTTGGCAGGAGCGGGAACTAGAGATGGGAGCTCACTCCATCATGCGGCAACTTGGGTCTCGAACTGCTGAACTACCGACCTTCCACAGCCTGCAGTTCAGCGTCTTAACCACTTGAGCCACCGCAAGTGGGTGGTGCAGTCATGGAAACTAACGCAACCCTGCCTTCTCCGGGGACTCCACTGGAAATCTTGCAAGGGAAAGCAACCTGGCCCTGGAGCCACTGCTTGCCGGGAGGAGACTCCGTCCCTTTAAGGAGAGGGCTCTCCCCCAAGCATCTCCTCTAGGTCTCCCAGCCTGGTTAAGGCAGCCGCTCACATTCACAAGAGCCTATTATTCATTTTTATTATTTTTTTCTCAGACACTTCCAGGGCATGCAGCGGTGATTTACTCTCCCCTGTAGTTAGCAGAGCTAAGCAAATAATCTGTAGCAAATCAGGCATTTGTTGAAAATTTCACCCCTATCTGTAGCCAGCCACGCTTGGAGGGGGGAGGGGGGGAAAAACCCACTCACAAACTCACTCATTACGCAAAAGACATTTGCAAATTCCCTCCCTGGCATGAAGAATTTGCTGGAGGGAGGATTCGCGACTGGAACTTTGCAATTGGCACCCCTCCCTCTCCCATTAGTCAAGCTGCTTCTGCCTATCGTGGGAATTTCGACCCTTGCCGACAAAAACAGAGGACTCGGGATCCGGCTCTCGGGTTCTGGCACAGGTTCGTCGCCAAAGGCTGGAAGGGAGTCGCCGGGGATCGGAGTAGACCCAGCCGTTTCATCTCAGGGTCATTTTTAGAGGTTTATTGTTCCGTGAATGTACAGAAATATATTAATATTTATCTTCTTTTTTTGAAAATCTAAAAAAGAGTGATATTCCTTTCGTAAATACATCACGGTTGTCACTGACGATTTTCTACTCACTTATCCCGTGATCTCTCTTTGGTTACCCTTGTTTTCTTTCAGGCAGCAGGAATCTGCTTCAGACTTAGAAATCACAGAATCCTAAGAGCTGGAAGGGACCTCCAGGGTCATCTAGTCCAACTTCCCAGCCTATGCTGGATTTCCGCCTTGCTCAGCTGCATGGGTACAAAAGTGCCATCCGGTCGCGGCCAACTTATGGCAACCTTGTAGGGTTTTCGAGGCAAGAGAGTTCAGGGGTGGTTTTTGCCATTACCTGCCTTTGCAGGGCTACCCTGATATTCCTTGGTGGTCTCCCGTCCAAGTACTAGCCAGGGCCAACCTGCTTTGCTTCCGAGACCTGATGAGATGGGGCTAAGCCTGGGCCATCCAGGCAAGGTTTTACTCACGTAGAAGCCTCTAACTAAGGCTGATCGGTGAGGAGTGCCAGCAAATGTCGAGAAAGCACGCGTAAGCCGGAGAATGGAAGGGGGAGCTATCTCAGGCATCCTCATCACCCGCAAATCCTGCCTGACCCAAGACCACAGCCTCCAACTTGGGACAAGACACACATACCTGCCTGGGACACCATGCCCCGCCCTGCATTCCCTCTGCTGATGCACAAGAGAAGCCCCCACCTCCCGTGTAGGCAGGTACCAGACCAACACACACCTGGATGATGTGCACCTCCAAGGTACTCAGGTAAAGAAGAAGAGATTGGATTTATACCCTGCCCTTCACTACCTAAAGGAGTCTCAGAG